AGAGCAGTACAATCGGCTGAACTCTAATGTTTGGGTTTTTTTTTTTTTAACTCATTCTAAAAAAAACCTAAACTTCCAGATAAGCCACAGGGATAACTCCCCAAACTTCTCTCCCTCACCACATCTCTGCATCTCTATATTTTGTACCAGATGCACCAACTGATAGCTTTTTATTATAGTAGTATGTATTACAAAATATAATGTGGTGAGGAGGGTACCATGCCAAGGCATGCCTCTGAGAAATCATGCCATGCACCAGACCTGGCATAAGGAGGTTTACTGTGGGCAGGGAGAGGGGTGAGGGCCTGGAGAAGGGGTAAAGGCAGACCAGTGGACATGCAGACAGGCAGACAGATGGGAGAAGAGGCATGAGGGCGGGGGGCGGGGGGAGCTGAGGACAGAAATGGGGAGAGAATACCAGGAACAGAGAGAGAGCTGGGGTGGCGATGGTCCTTTTATGTGGCCACACACACCTGTTACACCCGGTGGCAGAGGAGGCACATCATGACATAAACAATTGCTAGGTCCCTAAGGGCAGACCAGCAGAACTGCCTGTTCGCTGACATGGTGCACCTAAAATGTCTCATTTTTGACCATTTTTCCAGTGTATAATACAGTGTCATAAATCACAGTCACTGCTGTGAAGTCACCATCACTTCCTAGCTCCAGAACATTTTCTCAAATAACGTTTTGCTGTTCATGTGTTGTCCTCTACTGATGCTGCCTCAGCTGCTACCACTTACGATTAACATTTTCTGGAAACTTTGATGCCATATCACAGATAGCATGGTCCTTTAACCCTGAGTATAAGAGGTGTCTCCTAAAATCAAGGAACTTGTCTTTCAGTTTATGGTTTACTTATTAAATCTGGAGAGTCTGAGATCCATAGGCTAGTATTGTCAAATATATCGCTTCCAAATGTCACTGAGCAACATAGTTCTGTCTAGGAACACCACTGCATTTAGTGGTCCTGGGTCTTCACTTTGTAATAGTTTCTGGGCCTTTTAAATGAATTACTGGATTAGTGAATTACTTTACTTTGGGAGGCTTTTTTTTTTTTCCCAGAACTGAAATTTTGCTTTGGTTTGTTAGAACGAGCTTCAAGGTGGCTTTGCCCGGCTGTGCTCATCGGGCTACTTTCTGTGGCTTTGCACAGGAGTGTGTGGATGACGATGCACCCTCCTGCTGTCCCAGCAACAAGGCCGTACGTGTCAGCCATTGTGGTTCTGACTTTGCTCACTTGTTTAAGACTTTTTAAAAGGATTTTAAATTTATGTATTGGTTTGCTTACGTAGGAGGTATGCGCACACAGTGGTGCACTTGTGGAGGTCAGAGGGCAACTTGAAGGAGTTGGTTCTCTTCTTATGCCAGGTGGAGCCAAGGGACCAAACTCAGGTCATTCTGCTTGGTACCCTGGCCCAGTTTATTTAATGGCATTTGAAATAATCCTGTGGTATTCCTAATTACCGAGGTTATGAGACATATATGTCTGAGTGAAAAGTTTGCAGAAGACAGACTTTTAACTTTTTTCTTCTCAATCTCTTTCTCTGCTAGGGTGGCGATGATGTCATGGCCTGTGTCCATGATGACAATGGCAGAGTCCGCATCCAGCACTTCTATAACGTGGGCCAGTGGGCAAAGGAAGTTCAGCGGAACCCTGCCCGAGATGAAGAAGGAGTCTTTGAGAACAACCGAGTCACCTGCAGGTTTAAGCGCCCTGTGAACGTTCCCAGGGATGAAACCATTGTGGATCTGCACCTGAGTTGGTACTACCTATTTGCCTGGGGTCCAGCCATTCAGGGTAAGCCGACGTTTCAGCCTCAGCATTGAACACCAGTCACCACTGGGCTCATGTTCATTGTCAGACGGAGTCACACTGTGAGTGAATGACAGCCGTAGTGCTCTGCGTATGCTATGAAGAAAAGGAGATACAGGTCCCTCCTTCAGAGGGTTCTAAAGAACTCACAGTGCAGGAAGACACCTGAGACAGTTCACACGTGCTTAGCTAGAACATGTGACACACATAGGATGAGTGCGCACTTCATGTGGTGTGCAGATATTTCTGTTTGCTCCTCACCCCATCCTGGGTCTTTCTGACTCCAAAGTCAATGAACTCATCCATCATCCTTTAATAAGAAGATACTGAAGAGGAAAGGGTGTCTAGAGATTTCTCCAGAGCTTGACAGCAAGCATTAATTCTCACCCGATCACTATTCCCATGGTCACAAATCAGTCGAAATACCCTATATTTTTACTCATTAGTCCACGAATATTAAGGTACACAACAATCCCCCAGCTATATTGGTAAGTTAAGTCTTCTTCTGCGTGTTAGAGTTGGGGCTGAGATTCTGTATGCCTAACAAGTTCCCTGATGATGCTGTACTGTGGATGATGCCACTTCCTGTGACAGAGCTCTCCAGTGGCTTCCTATTGAAGGTCCACAGGCATCATAAGAGACCTTTTAGAGGTTGCTTAAATCAAGTCATCTTGTGAGCCTTCCACTTGGTCAGTTGGCATAATGGCCTGACCAAGAGTGGAGGTAGAGAGAGCTCATTCTCTCACTCTGCCTTTTAGGAATTTTACCTTTCTTGCTTGCTCTTTCTTTTTCTTTGAGCTGGGTGTCTACTGTGTTGCTCAGGCTAGAGCAATCCTCCTACTTCAGCCTCCTGAGGGGCTAGAGTCATTGGTGTATACCACCTCACCCAGCTTGCCATCTGTCCTTAGTGTGTGTTCAGTAACTTCCTGTTGCTTCTTCTGATCTGCCCCCCCCCCCCCCACATTTTTATTTCTTTCCGTTGAGTTAGAGAGTACTCAATCTCCCCTTCACCTTCTCTTCCCCTCCCCACCCATTGCCAATTGGGAAAAGAGATGGATGCCTCCAGATTGGTGGTGCCTTTTCACTGGCTGCTTTTCCATCTGCCATGATACCTTTTAGTGTCCTGGGAAATAAATGATACGTTAGCTAGGAGAGATAGATTCATTTTGCACGGTAAGATTGGTATCTGAAATGTGAGTTTTTAGTATTGTTTCTACCCCTTGGTAGCGATGTAACCTGCTATCTAAATTAAGAACTTCATTTCCTTATGCTTAGAGTAATAATATATCTACTTCATAAGGTTATTGACTAGTGGGTGAATTAAGCATGTGAAATTGCTATAGTAGATTGGAAAAAGTTGTACAGTAGTCCCATTTCATCTGTGGGAGATTTTACTGAGACCTCCAGTGTTTGCCTGAAACTCCACATTTGCCCCTAATGTGTAAATTAGAATTGAGTATGAGATTTACAGCGATATTACTAATAAAGCAATCACAACAGTACATTATAGTAAGTCATATAAAATGCAATCTTTTGCTCTTTTAAAAATATATCTACTCTCTCAAAGTAACTTTTCTTTGAACCACAGCTGACTATGGTCATTGAAAGCAGAGAGAAGCCTTGAAAATGGAGACGCTTACATGCTCCAAAGGTCGTCCTCTTAAAGAGTCTGACATCTGAGATTTGGGGAGGGGGTGCATAGTCACCCGGCCTTACCTGATAAGCTCCCTCCAGGTCTCTCTTCTCACTGTTTCCAGGCAAAGCAGACCCGTTTCCATCCCACATGCTGGCCATGCTTTTCTTATTTCCTGAGAGTTTTAACATCTGTCAGTTCTATTTCTGTCTCTTGGCATAAAGTTTTGGCTAAGGCTCGAAGGAATAGAGATTCCATTTCTCTCAAGAAAGCCATGAACTGGAGGTGCATGGCATAGCCTGAGAGGCCAGTCAAGGACCAGGTATCCTCAGGTACAAAGTGAGAGTGGGCCCCATGGAGAGGGACCTCTCTGTCTGCTGGGAGAAATTGTGTAGCAGGAGGGAATAGGAGAGGGTTCCCACTACACTGTGTCTGGTAGAGGTCCCTGAGAGAAAAGACTGTAAAGCCCACACATGGTACAAACCAGGCCTGGTGGTGCAGACCTATAATTTCAGCTACTTTGGAGGCTGAGGCAGAAGGATCACAAGGTCAAGGCTTGTTCGGGCTACAAGGTGAGTTCAAGGCAAACCTGGCAAGCTTATTGAGACCCTATCTCAAAGTAAAAACAAAACAAAACAAACAAAAACTAAAAGAAAGTTGGCAAGCTGGGAATCAGTGGCAGACGTTTGCCTAGCATGTTTATGGACCTGGGTTCAATCTCTGGTGCTGTAAAACAAAAACAAACACTCCAAAAACCCCTAACTGAGCTCCAATCCTAGGGATGCCTTTCCATTGAACTCCTATGCCTCAGTTTCCCTAACCCAGGTTTGATTTTTTTTTTTTTTTTAAGAAAAGGAAAACTTGATGAGTATTGTAACACATGCCTTTAATCCCAGTACTGGGGATCAGAGGCAGGTGATCTCGAAGTCCAAGACAGCCAGGGTTACACAGGAGAACCTTGTCTCAAAACAAACAAACAAACAAACAAACATAAAAAGGAGAGAAAAGAAAATTGGTTCAAGCAGGTCTCTTGTGTTAGTCTTGCTGGAAGCTGCAATCAGAGTACACCATGGATCATAGCTTGAAAAAACACGGCTTATTACCATTTCTTTTTATCCTTTTAATTCTTCAGTGTTGAGGATTAAACCAGAGGTGTTTGGATGTCAGGCAAGCTGTCTGCTGCTGATCTGTGCCATCAGCCCTTAAGCATTTCACATATAGAATTTCCTTCTTTCTTCTGGTGACCAGATGGAGAAACGTTTCATCTAAGGACTTGTTCTCTTAGTTATTCCCTTTCCAAACTGTTCTTTCCTGCTCTTGAAAATCCCTGTCATCTGGTATGCCAATCTCTTTTGGCTGAAGAAGTCTCTTCTCTCTTCTCCTCTCCCTCTCTTTCTTCTATTCTCTCCTTTTCCCTCCTCTCCCTTCCCCCTTCCCCTCTCCTTTCCCCTCTTACCTTTCCTTCCCTCTTCCCCTCTCCTTTCCCCTCTTCCTTCCCCTTCCCTCCCTTTCCCCTCCCCTTTGTCCTTTCCTTTCCCCTCTCCTCCCCCTTTCCATTCCCTACCCCCTCCCCTCCCCTCCCTTCCCCCTTTCTTCTTTTCCCTTCTTTATTCTTCTCCCTGCCCCTGTGGTGCATTCTGTGGGTGTACAGATGTGTGAGTGGAAGTCAGAGCAAGACATCAGATGTCTTTCTTTCTTTCTTATTCTCTACCTAGTTTTTCTTTTTCTTTCTTCCCCCTCTTCTTTTTTTTTTTTGACAGGATCTTTCAACATGATCCTAGCTATCATGGAACTCACGACTCACTATGATTCACCCACCTCCCCTAGGATTAAAGTGCCCAGCTCACTTTTGTTCTTGAGATAGAGTTTTGCACACAACAGGAAACTGGCCTTTTTGGCTATGTTGGCCTGCTGGCTAATGGACTCTTAGACTCTTACCTGTCTTTGACCCCCCCCGTCTCCCCAATGCTCAAATTATAGACACAATCTTTGCTCCCCAATGTTCAGGTTATGCGTACACACAGCCATGCCTGGCTTTCTACATGGGTATTGGGGATTCAAACTTAGGACCTTATCTCCATATGCTTGCAGAATAAACATACCTATCTACCCACATCTTCCTTGCCAAAAGCTGGCTCACTCTTAATATGCCACAGGTCAGCAAAAGAAGACTGGCTGTGTCTGGAGCTGCTAATGCATGTCTGCAAGATTTGGGGCTGTGGTGGTAGCTCAGCAATAGAGCACTTATCATGTATGAAGCCTTGGGTTCACCACTTCCCCCAAATCTGAGGAGGTAGAAATAGTATCCCCCCCCCCCCCCGACACACACACACCAAGGCTGGAAAGATTACTCAGGTTAAGATCACATACTGCTATTACAGAGGACACAAGTTCAGTTCCCAGTACCCATATCAGGTGACTCATAATCCCCTGTAACCCATCTTCAGGAGATTCAATGGCCTCTTTTGGCCTCTGTGTGTATACACATCCACAAAAATAAATAGACAGATAACTAGAATAAATCTTTTAAAAAATTAAATGTTTGAAAAAATAAAAATACATTTTATTAGATATTGAGAAGTTTGAATTTATTAGAGACAAGTAGAAATCCATTCAGCTCCTGCAAGTATTAATATTATAACTCGATGCCACAAAACAGAGATACAACAGAGAATAACAGTAAGTTGTTCTGATCTGGGGGGACTGGAGATCAACAAGGACCACCTTTGGGTGTAAAGATAAATCATTTATGTGTTCTCCATCCTATGAGCCCTTGCAGAAAATTCTGATGATGGCTCTAATATCTGAATCCAGATCTAGTACACACTGTGTTTGTACTTAGTAGTGGAGACTTATCTTTGGTGTCTGTCTTTTAACTCTGCTGCTTTTGACTGACCCTCCCCTCTGCTTGTGTGTTAAAGGCTCCATCACTCGCCACGACATAGATTCTCCACCAGCGTCAGAGCGTGTGGTCAGTATTTACAAGTACGAAGACATTTTCATGCCGTCGGCTGCCTACCAGACCTTCTCCTCTCCATTTTGTTTGCTTCTCATTGTGGCCCTGACCTTCTACCTGCTGATGGGAACCCCTTAAACCACAGCTGGACCAGATGGAGTGAAAAACCTTCAGTATATATTTTTCAATAATCACCTGTGTAATTTTAGCCTCAGTTATTTAAAAACAAGTCATGATTTCAACATTTTTGGAAAAAAGAGAAAGCTCTCCTAGTCAAACAGGATTGTCAAGGCAAACCTACTTTCAGGAAGTACTTAAAATGTTTGCGAACACTTGCAAATGTATTTTCTATTTGAGCTTTACAATATCTGTGCATTGACACGGTACCACCGGGAGGGTCATCACAGCGACTGGGATTGAAACCCAGACAAAGGCTGCCTTTTGTTGACCTACGTGTCTCACAGCCTTGGCTGACAGGATCAGGTGACACATGGCAAGGAAGAGAAAGAGCTAGCGGTGGAGAGCATGCCTCAGAACAGCGCACACAAAACAGGGTCACTTTGCATGTTGCTGTGGGGACCTTTACAGGATGTCACAAGTGCGTCAGCAGCCTCTTGAGAACATTTTCGTGCAGCCTAAGTGCTTTCTGATAGTCACAGAGTTGATGGGGGAGTACGGGAGAGATTGTGGCTGGCGATAAGAAAGTGGCTTGTATTTATTTAAAATATCTTCTCAATTATTGTGTACTTATGAGAAAAAGGTTTTGTGTTGCTGTTAGGAAAGATTAAAAATAGAACTGTGAATATTTCTGAAGATGCAAAATTATTTTAATGATGAAAATAGAATTATCAATAGTTAGAATTTGCTCTCTTCTGCTACAGTATTCTATCAACTAAGGTGTTCATGGCGGCTATAATTAAATATGCATTATAACAGACAGGTCACCCTAAGGAAAACATAATCATACATTAACATTTTTAAGACTGTAGACATCAGAAGCAAAAATGGGTGGCAGGGACCCTGAGGTAAATTCACCAAGAATATACATTAAAAATGTTCAATTCTATGTTTTCTTTTTTCAAAAGAGCCAGATACTCTTTTAGTCCAAATATGTAGAGGAATTTTAATTCAGAACATGGCTGCTCTGGCATGAGATCACATCCAAAGACTTTCTAGGTCTGTGTGATCGGGCTGGAATACAGACAAGCCTTTAATCCCGGAGACAGAGGTAAGTAGATCTCTGAGTTCCGGGACAACCTGGTATAGAGCAAGTTTCAGGTAAAGAAAAGCTTAGGTCCAATTGTGCTGGCACATGCCTTAAATTCCAGCACTCAGTGGACAGAGGCATGCAGATCTCTAGTCAATGCTGTTCAGTCTGTTGGGTTGAAAGTGAGTTGAGATGCAGGGCGATAGAGTTGAGTTCAAGGCAGTTCAGTTCATGAGGCAGTTTAACCTGGAGAGTTTTACAGAGATAGGTTGAATAGAGGATGAGCTAGACACAGGTTAAAACAGAACGAACCAGGGAATGAGAAGGAGCCAGAAGATTAGAACAGATTGCTAGAGTTAGTTTGAGGCCAAACAGAGCAATTCAGTCAGAGAGAAAATCCAGACTGAATAGTCAGATAACAGAGGAGTTTGAGCCAGAAGAGTTGAGTTGAACCAGCCCCCACAAGTTCAGAGAGACCTAGAAAGGGTGAACTTATTCAGTAGTATGTCTCAGAGGCTGAAAGCATTCTAGACTTTTATTAGATTGTATGGAGGCTAGAAGAGCTTCCAGGATTAGGCCTAGGTTAGCAGACCTGAAGCAACAATTACCTCGGGAATAAAAGTTACTTTAACACAAATATCTATGCCAGCCTGCTGCCTAGAGGAGAGTAGCTGTGTCATTCCCATTGTGGCATTCCAGAATTCTCTGATTTGTTCCTTTTGCTCCAACTTGATAGAGAAGCAACATCAGAGCACGGTTTCTAAGGTCCTTTCCTCCAAGATTCATGTTAGAGGTGAAGGTCAGCCTGTGGGAGGGTGTTTAGATTCTTTTGGGCTGGAGCCAAGCTAAACAAAGTTTGCTACTTTGTGACACGCCCACACCCAGCTTCAAACTCAAGGTTCAAGATGGAGGCTCCGCCTCACTGCCATCACCTCTTCACCAAACCCTCTGATCTTATACAAGCTTGGCTCAAAGCATATGTATCAGCTTCTCAGTGTTCGGAGTTGGTTTAGGAGTGAGCGTTGGGAGTACATTGAGACACCATGTTGTATATAAGAAGCCCAATATTTTTATATATCCCATATGTGTATGATACCCAATCTATAAGTAGCAGAGCAAGAGACTTCAGTTAATAGTAGGAGCAAGAGGTGTTTCCCTTATACTTTTGTTTCAAATCAAGTAACTGTTTCACTGAATCCTTACGTGAGTGACCAGGTTTGTGTATTTTGGCTTGGAACTTGCAATTAATTATCCTTTCCCTGGCAGCAACATGCAAGTGACTCTACTAAGCTCCAGGCTTCCCTGCTTCAGGCCACTGCTTGTCTGAGAGGTCTTGAGTTCTTCCAACCTGTTCTCTCTCACACAACTTGTCTTCCCTCCTGTGGATGATAAACTTGTCTCTAATGCTCTGGCTTAGTTGTCTCTTCCTCCAGTCCTCTGGACCACATGGTTCTAGGACATAGTCAGTGCTCCTGTAGCCCATTGGACTTCTTCATCACACATGTCAGATTTTACTGAAATCGCTGGCTTTGTTTTCACTGCTAATCCCCCTCTTGTAAGAGCTCTTTCTCACCACTCACCCCGTGGCAGATGTCACTTCTTAGTGGTATCCAGAAAACTGATGGAATAAGTTACAGAACTGTCTTGATACTGTGAGTTGATCTGAGCCAGGGGAATCTTTTATATACTTTACCTGACTAGCCAATGTTTGTATATCCCCTCTTTGTGATCAAACCATGTCTTCCAAAAACATAAATGACAGCATCCTTAGTGGTTTTGCCTTTCAGTGGAGACCAGTTGGCATTTTCAACAATAATAAGTGTCCTAAACTAAGAATTTGCAGTCTAGGAGTGCATTACAACAGTTGGCTATCATCTCAAAGAACTAGTCACTGACAGACATGCAGAAGCTAAAGCTGTATAGACTTCAAATTTGTTCCTTCTTAGCTAATATAAGAGAATGACTTTATCCCTCTCTTCATTCTCTCTCTCTTTCAGCCGGACCTCACAATCCTTCTCCGTCAGCCTCCTGACTCCTATCTCAAGCATGTACCACCAGATCTGACAATACATTTTCGTTTTCTAAGACAGTGTTTGTCCTGAGGGAGATGCCTATCAATGCTTTTTGGTAAAATACCCAAGTGGAATATGAGCAGCAGATAAATGTATTTAGTGCTGTTTTAAGTGTTCCACATTCATTAACTCTTTCGATCTTAACAACCAGAGGAAGTGTCTGTTATTAATGCAGCTTTACAAATGGAAAAATGGAGGTTGTTAATTTGGCTTACTTACCAATACTGGCAAGACTTCAGAGATGGAGGTACCAGGGGCCAAAGGACCCACTATGAATCCCTATACCTCTTGCAGAGTTTTTAAAACTTCCATTAAATAGAACCTGCTATCCACACTCAAGTCAGCTAGGTGCTTTCACCTGGCTCCTAGTACTTTACAGCAAATATGAGAACTTCTTACAACTGTGTTTGAGGAAAGGAACACATTTGATTTTGAATCACTTTATTTTCTTAAAATTATTTTAGTACTTTTTTGTTTTCTTTTCTTCCTTCCTTCTTTTCTTTCTTTCTTCCTTCCCTCCTTCTCTTTCTTTCTTCTTAGCATTAAGGATCATATCCAAGTCCTTGTGCATATTACAGAGTGTTCCACAAACTATACTCTCAGCTCATTTTAGTACTGTTAATGTTTTTCAAACTATTGTGTAGATGGGACCGAAGAATGCACTTCTCTTAGTTAATTTCTGAACATGGCTTTCTTAAAACCTTGCTCTGTCTTACAACATGGAATTACACATGCTTTTAATGTCCCACTATAGTCAAACATGCATTCAGAGAAAATCCAGAAGGTACATTCAGTTATCATGGTTTGGGTTTTTGTTTAAAGAAATCAGAAAGTTTGACAACTGAGGGATAGATTTTCATCCCAGTGTATTCATACCATTTAAGTTTTCTATTTTCAGTATTTTGTCTTAAGTGATATTAGCACTGAGATTGAACACTGTTCTTATTTCTCTCCCAGGATTTCTTAAAATTTCCTTGTAAAGAAGCTAGGTTGTCAATATTTTTAACTTTGTACTTGTGTCCCAGCTGTTCTGCTCTGCCACAGACAGTTCAGAAATGAATAAGCATGGCTGTGCATTAGTAAAACAACTAAAAAATTAACTCCATATACTTTGCAGATGCCAAAATGATACAGTAAGTTTTAAAAAGCTGTTGGAAAATCAAAAACCCATTCTTATCTTGCTGGGCTGGGTTTATGGACTCTGGTTTTCCAGTGGCTTTAGTCAGGGGCATTCTGTTTATCCAGTCAGTTGTAAATCATATCACCAGTAACTTATTGTTAACTAGTTGTAAAAATATCAAAGTTGGTGAATAATTTGTTTAAAACTAATTTATAGTTAGTTTTCTGTTATAAAGGAATAGCATAGTAGCATCCTTACACATTTATATTCTAAGGTTTCCTGGAGTTGACACAGAGAGGTACAAGAAAGAACCAATGGTAAAGGACCAGCCTGGGTAGGTTACAGCTTTGCTTTGCCTGAGGTCTGGCAGATGTGAGCATGTCTCACTTTGAACTGCTCTTTTGGTGAACATTGCTAAGCTTTAGAGTAATTTATTTCCGTGTAGGAATTTTTAAAAATGATCATAGGGGCACGAGAGTGTTTTACACACGTGACACATCTATCTCATATAATGAAACGATGTGTGAGAGCCAGCATACAAGGTCACAAGCTGAGGTGACTGGTAGTTGACTATTATACATCCTTACTCTCCAAACAGAAATGCATATTTAGTGAACAAGTTGATTATTTTCAGGTTGTTTATATGTAAATACATTTTATAAATAGGTGACAGAGGGGGTGTATTTATACATAAATGTACATGTACTAGTACACACACAGACACACAGACACACACACACACACACACACACACACTCCATGAACATTAAAGGTTATTGTCAGGGTTGGTTCTTTTTCTGATCTCTTGTATACTTTAAAACACAGAGAAAAACATTGTATTACAAGCATACTTATCCTTGAATTTGTAGTAATTTAGTTTATAGAAGGGATTCCTGTATCTTTTATTAAGCCTTGTTTCCTCTCTTCAGCATTGTATGACTTAAGAATGGATATGCATTGTTGCTTAATTTATTTTTTCATACCATTAAGAAACCAAGTTGAATAACTGGCATGTTACATGGCAGCCTAAACATGTTCTAAGTTGCATTAGTTTTTTTTTTTTTTTTTTTTTTTACTCTATTCTATTATTCAGTGAGCAATTTGTGTAGTTTCCAGTTGGATTTCCTTGTGCTTTTATTGAACAGATGACTTGCATATAATTTCCTTTTTATGAAAATAGTAGTTAGGGAAATAAGAGCTTAAATATGCCTGGCAATGGAAAAATGTATGTAAATCTCCTAGCCTTGGGGGTGTGTTCTACTTAAGAATACACTAATGACTGGATAATATTTACAATTTTCTCTCAAATATTTTCTATTAGGTGAGTAACCACTCAGTCTGATTCTTCTGGAATATAATCATTCTCTAAGTTTGCTGAATGCTCAGTGGATGTGGCATCCACCCAGTTCACTAGACTCTTTCCTGCTTCATCGCCTAGAATGCCCTGAGCCCTCTGTCCCGGGAGAGTGAATTCGGCTTTTCCACTTGCCTTATTCCCACTGACACATTGACATGCTGGAACAGTCTGGCTCCAGAAGAACTAATAGTTTTTTTGAGACTGTCTACAAAATACTATTTTGTTAAAACTATGCTTTTAAATAGACACTGATGAGTTATATTTGTTTTATAAAAAATTGTGTACCTAATATTCAATTGTGATTGATTTTGAGATTATATATAAATGTATATTTATAAG